GCAATGCTCACAGAATGATAGATTTTTACAGTTGTCTGTCCTCCATAAAAAAATAATTCCACATGCCAATACTTCAAAGCCAAATGAAAAGCAGCTATAGAACTTTCTAGGAGAGTATTCATATAAAAAAGCAAAGTAGATATTCATTAATCCATTAGGCTGTATTATCTTGCTTCAAGATTTAATCCTGGCTGATTTGAAATAGTCATGATTCCCAGTGTCAATACTCATTGAGTCTTGTAGGAAGAAAATATCCAGAGTGCCAAATTTTCTTCAAACTAGGATCATGTATTTCCCATAGGATATAACAGCCTTGTGGGTTGTCCTTCACTTTTTCATATAAGCAGAATACAGAGCAAATCTCATGTTAATTAACTACCCATTAGTCATATCTTGCTCGTGAAAATCTTTGGTTGCAAAGATGAAAGCTGGCTGATAAGCAATCTTTTCTGTGATGTTCCAAGTTGTATGTGTGTGGTCTCTGTGTACCTTGAATGTGCATGTTCAACAGAGATAATGTGCATACAAGAGCTGCTGTCGAGAGGATTGGGTATAGAATGAAATATTTATTTTCCTATTTTATTCTATATATAACTAAATTTCTTGACTTACATTTTGGAAAGGTTTTTTGAGTGCTATTTAAACAGAGTGGTCTTTTTCTTAGGCAAGTGGTATGGAGAGAATCATATTGCTGTCCCATGCCTACAAAGTGACCAGATTACAAAGTAATGAATTCAAAATAAAAACATAGGAGTCAGAATTTAAGATTCTATAATCAGGTCACATAAATAATTCTATCTTATTATAATTTTATTGAAAGTTTTCTAAAGTTTATTAGGTGTAAGGTTTTTTGAGCTAAGTTATCCAAGCTTTTTACTGCTTACATTTTAGTAAACATCTAGGTCACAAAAATTTACTACATTTTCATTTTTAAAGGCTGAAGAGAAAGAAGGGGGAATATTTTGAAGAAATGAACAATATAAGTAGATTCTGCCCTGAGTAATACACAGCTAGTAGGGTTTGTATTTTGTCCTTGTGGGTCTGTACTTTGTCCTTGTAGAACTGAGAGAATGGGAATAGAAAAGAAAGATTTACTTTCCCTTCCTTACACTCAATTTTTCTTGAAGAATTGTTTGGATACAAGTCCATTTCAGTAGTCTACCTTATTTGATCCTTAAAACAGATTGGATAAAGTCTATCTTCATTTTATATGTGAGAAAGCTAAGATTTGTAGATTATTAACTGTTCAACATTCCAAGCCTCATACAGAATAGAGCTCTTAACCCAATTTAGTGTTGGTTATTGTTTATTGCCAGTTCTTAATCGAGGACTTTTCCCACGGTGTCAGTGTGATGGTTTATTTGCATGAAATTGCATAATCACCTATTTGTCTATATTTTAGGCTTAAAATACTTGGTTATCCTTGGGAAATGTGTTCCTTGGTGTTTTTTCTTCCAAGCCTCATACAGAATAGAGCTCTTAACCCAATTTAGTGTTGGTTATTGTTTATTGCCAGTTCTTAATCGAGGACTTTTCCCACGGTGTCAGTGTGATGGTTTATTTGCATGAAATTGCATAATCACCTATTTGTCTATATTTTAGGCTTAAAATACTTGGTTATCCTTGGGAAATGTGTTCCTTGGTTTTTTTTTTTTTTCCCCCCTCTAATACGCCATCCTCACCCCCACATCTAGTTAGGGCCTACTGTCACTAAACCACTTGCTCTTTAATGGGACTTAAATATGAATGGCTTATTGCCCAAGCAGCCAGTTGACTCCCTGGTATAAATTCTAACTATACCTGACAGACCATTATAAGTTCGTAAAAGATTTTCACATACCAATATGCAAAAGAACTTCTTTTGCATTCTTCAAAAACAGATTTTTAAAAATTGATCAGAGCTTAATTCCCAAGAATCTTTTATTCCCAAGTAACATTAATATGCTGTGGTTTAGCAGCAAATTTTTCTCCAGTGAAAAAATGTGGGATACCAATGTATAAAACAGATAAATGTGTATTTTATATTACCCATAGAGTTGACCCCACCCCAAAAGAAAGTACTCAAAATAGGCCTCTATAAGACAGCATGACCCCCTCATTTGTTACTGTATGGGTTTTAGAGTACTGCTGAGTAGATGCACCTTATCTGCACTTGGTTTTATAATAAATGTGCTAAGCTGATGTTTTGGTACTATACTATTTTATATGAGTGAATATGTTCTGCCCTAAAGAATATCAAACACACGTATAGGGCAGGAAAAGCTCCACACAAAAATAAGGTCACTTGGCAGTGTAAGTAGACCATAAGTGCTCTCCAGTGTTTTGCAGTTGTGCATGTGTCTAAGTGTATTGTTTTTATAACTTTTTAAGAGCATTTTAGCACACAATTTGAATCAAACTTTTGTGGGGTCCATAGAGCTAAGACTTAGGGTACTGATTTTTAAACACTTGACATGGTGGAAAGAGCTTTGGATTCAGTCAGGTGTAGATGTAAATCTCAGCTTTACTAGCTGGTAACTAGTAATTCCAAACAACCTTGTGGTATTAAAAAATGTAATAGTATTGCCCTGGCTGGTATGGCCCAGTGGTTGCAGTGTTGTCTGTGCATGGGAGGGTTGCAGGTTCGATTCCTGGTAAGAGCACATACCCAGGTTCTGGGTTTGGTCCCCAGGGCACATGTGGGAGACAACCTATCGATGTTTCTCACATCAACATTTTTCTTTCTCCCTCCCTTCCTCTCGCTCTAGAATCAATGAAAAACATATCCTTGGGTAAGGATTAATTAAAAGAAAGTGTTAATAGTATTGTTTTGTCTTAGAACAAGCATGTCAAACTCAAAAGCTAGCACAGGCCAAATAAACAAAGTTTAAGTTTATGTGGGCCGCAAAAAAAACAAAATCTTCAATTTTCATAGAAACAGGTTTATTTTGATAGAGACATGCTGAATACAGAGGGCTGAAATAAATGAGTAATCGTTAACATAAAATAATAGAACATTTTAATAAAAATTAATATTTTTTCTTGAACATTAACTTACCAGACACTGGATAACTGCACAAATTAATAAGTGTAATGCAAATAAACCTATTTCTTGTTCTCCAAAAGCGAAATATTTCCTGTTGCGAATACCAAACAAGTCAGTACAAAGTTCATGACGTGGCTATCGGCTGCTAAAATACTCACTGCTAGTATTAGTGGAGAGAAATGGTGCGCCTGTGCATAAGGTGCGTAAGGGAAATGAATGCAACACGATTATAGTAATCAGTCATTAGCAAACATTGTAGTTTGTTATTAATAATTATGTGTAACAGGATATTATAAAAATTAAGTTATGAAATTTTTATTAAAATGTTTCTTGCATATCGTTTTATTGGCTGGGCTGCAAAAATATTCCTTGTGGGCCGCATGCAGCCCATGGGCCACGAGTTTGACATGCTTGTCTTAGAATATTTTAAAGCAAAATTTTGGAATAATTTACATAGTTACCATAAATGCCTAATTTTTTAACTCTGGGACCAGTAAGGGGAAAAGATCAAGGTAGATTTTGGAGAACTTCCTTCAATCATTGGAAAGTAGGAAAAAGTACACCTCTGTAACCATGTCACATCTGATGGGTACCAGGAACACTGACTACTTATGTGAATCTAATCTATTTATAGCTCCAATTGTTGTTAGCAGAGAAAAATAGGGGAGAGTGGCAAGGAGTTTATAGGTGTAACATACAAATGCATTTGCCATAGAAAATATTTGTTGTTAATTGCTGCTCTCAATAGTCCTTGTTTCCATTAAAATTTATAGTTGTTGGAATGTCAGGATTATCACTAATTTGGATGCTTTTAAAATTTACATAGTACTCAATATCATGAGGTCATCTGGACCATTTATCAGCCTCCACATTACACTAATCTTGTTACATAATGATCTGCATAAGAGTTTTATAGTCTCATCTATTCCTTTGTTTAAAATTAGAGTCCTACCATCTCATTCTTACTCCATGCTAGACTGCAACTCTGGTGTCCGTACTTGCTTTACTGTGACCAGTAGTACGGAAAACCAGGGAGGAAGGGAGCTAAATTTTAGTATTGTCTGTGTATCAGACCCTATGCATAGCTTTGTTTTCTGGTTTTAATATTTTTAAGCTATTTCCTTTATTTTATTCTACAATAAGCTCTTACCCTCCCCACCCCCCCTGCACATAGGGAGCGGGATCGGCCGGCCAGCTGCCCATGCGTGGCCCTTCTCCCCTGCAGGCCCAGCCCAATCAGCCCCCCATCGGGGCAGGCGGCCGGACCCCACCCATGCACGAATTCGAGAGTTAAATATAAATGTTCTGATTCCTGCAAACTTGTCTCTGTGATTCAATAAGTTCTTGTTAGCATGTACATGCCTGACATTTGCCTCTGTGGTGGCGATAAACCCTGAAGCAAAACAGGCAAAATTAAGTCCCCGCTTTGTGAAGGTTACATTCAACGAGGGGAAAGATTGAAAATAAGCAAGTGCCCTAATTTAGAAGATAATATGGAAAGAATAGAGAAGGATGAGCGATTTCAGGACTGAGGAGAGAGCTAGTCAGAGAAGGCCTCGCTGAGAGAGTAACATTTGAGCCAAAACTGAAAGGGGAGAACAAAAACTGCAGACACCTGGGAAAAGAGAATTTCCAACCAGAGGGAGCAACAAAAGCAAAAGCCAAGAGGTGCACATGTTCTCAAGTGTTTGACAGACAGTAAGGCTGATGTGGTTATAGACAAGTGAGCAAGAAGAGTAGTGGGAGAGAGGGGCACCAAGGAGCTAGATGAGGGACCTGGTTTAGACATTTATTGGCCACAGCTGTGCACTGCACTTTCTTGGTAGTGATAGACTTGATCCTTCAAGAACTTTACTACTTTTACCTATAAATTGTAAAATTTTTATAGAAATTTTTAATTGATTTTTAGAAGGAGAAGAAGGAAGAGGGAGAAGCATCCATGTGAGAGCAATATACCGATCTGCTGGCTCCTGCACACCCCCAACCAGGGATTGAGCTCGCAACCTGGGTATGTGCCCTGACAAGGAATGAAACTGACAACCTCTTGTTGCTCGGGATGGTGCCCAACCAACTGAGCTACAACTGGCCAGGGCTAAATTATAAAATTATTTTTATAAGAGATAAGAATCATATTATAAATTGAGAATAACTGTACTAGGAAACCTAGGTTGAGTTTCATAAGGGGAAGCATTTAATCAAATGTAAAACTTTTGCAAAGACTCCTGACACCAAGTTAGAAATGGAAAAATGGACTATTAGAGTCATCATTATATCAAACACATCAGTTCATGGGACAAAATGAACATTTTAGATCAATTCTCAGGAAATGATTTTTCTCATGGATTTTACCAATGATCTATACATGTAATATACATTGTTTTCCCATGTCTCTACTTTTTTTGTAGTATTTCTGTTCAGACGCTGGTTTCTTATTTCTGCTTTCAAAAGCAAAATCTGGAATAAAAGATGTGCTTCCGTAAGTGTCATGATGTTGTTCCAAGAGGGATCAGAGTACTATAATCCAAGTGTGTAGTATTCACCATTTTTCTTGTCCTAGCAATGTCCCAGGAAATTTTTAATTGATTTTTAGCTTTATCATTCCTCTAAAACAGTGGTTCTCAAACTTGAATTCCCTAGAGCAGCGGTTCTCAACCTGTGGGTCTCGACCCCTTTGGCGGTCGAATGACCCTTTCACAGGGGTCGCCTAAGACCATCCTGCGTATCAGATATTTACATTATGATTCATAACAGTAGCAACATTACAGTTATGAAGTAGCAACGAAAATAATTTTATGGTTGGGTCACAACATGAGGAACTGTATTTAAAGGGCCAGAAGGTTGAGAACCACTGCCCTAGAGAGCTTGTTCAGACATAGTTGGGCCTCACTCCTATTTCTAATTCAGTATTTAGGATCTGGGGTGGGACCAGTGAATTTGCATTTCTATCACCTTCCCAGGTGATTCTGATACTGCTGGTCCAGGGGCCATGTTTTGAGACATACTGCATTCTAGCATCAGTTGTTAATCTTCTGAAGAGAAATAGAGAATTCAAAAATAAAATCCCTTGTGATAACCTAAAACGTAGGTACAGTATCCTACATTAATAGATAAGTGGTCATATAGAGAACAAGCCTTGAGTAACACCAGTGATCGTTTAAAAATAAAAGCTCATGCGGGAAAAAAAGGAGACATATGTAATACTCTTTGTAATACTTCAAGCAATAAAACAATTTAAAAAAATAAAAATAAAAGCTCATGTGTCCCATCATCGAACATATACCCTGGATGGGGAAACGGGCACATGCAGACAAATTGAGTCCATTTTACTAGGAAATCAAAACAGAAGGGTTTTTTAAAAATATTTTTTTATTGATTTCAGAGAGGAAGAGAGAGAGAAACATCAATGATGAGAGAGAATCATTAATCGACTGCCTCCTGCACGCCCCACAGGAGGGATGGAACCTGCAACCAGGGCATGTGCCCTGACCAGGAATCGAACCGTGTCCTCCTGGCTCATAGGTCTACACTCAAGCCACATCGGCCCAGCCAGAAGGATTTTTTTTTTATATGAGACAAGCAATTTCACAACAGTCCCATACACTTCAGGGTGGGAATGGGAGGGGAGGTAGCCAATCCCCTTAACATCACTTTTTCTTTGCTTGCTAGGAAGACAAAAAGCCTAAACTTGCAGGTGTGGGAAGGCAAGTGTCTTAAAAATCAAGGTGTCTTGCAAGCTTAAATTTTAAAAAATCAACATAACTGTCTTCTCACCTTTGAGGCCTATGACTATTTTTTTCCTTCAAGTCTTTGAAAAAAATTATAACGGCTTTAAAGTTCTTGCCTGCTAATTCTAACATATGGGTCATGTCAGGGTCTGTTACTATTAACTACTTTTTCTCTTGATCTTGAGTCACATTGTCTGTTTCTCTACATGTTTAATATATTTTATCCTCGACATTGTAGATAATAATTGTCCATGAACATGAATTCATTTTCCTCTGAAGTGTTCTGATTTCCATTCTAGCAGGCAGCTAAGTTACTAGCTGATGACTCTGAACTTCTGTAAGCTTACTTTATATACTTTTATGATGGATCTATTTCCAGTTTATTCTTAACCTCTAAGCAAAACTTTAGTCCTGGAAAATAGTTTTTACTCTAAAGGTATGGCCCCTCTCTAGTTTTGATTGAAAACTTGAAGTGTTGCCCAGCCAGTGTGGCTCAGTGGTTGACCTATAAGCCAGAGATTCCGGTCTGGGCACATGCCTGGGTTGCGGGCTCGACCCTCAGTAGGTAGGGGTCCTGTAGAAGGGCAGCTGATCAATGTTCCTCTCTCATCAATGTTTCTATATCTCTCTCCCCAAGAAAACTTTCTTTGAAGTGTTTACCAAGCCCCTCTGAGTTGGTAGGTACTGTGGTCTGAATGTTTGTGTCTCCCTAAAATTCACATGATTTATTTCTAACACCCAATGTTATAGTATTAGGAACGGGCCTTAGGAGGTGATTAGGTCATGGGGTGGAGCTTTCACGAATGGGATTAGTGCTTTTATAAAAGAGATCCTACAGAGCTCCCTAGATCCTTCCACCATGTAAGGACACAACAAGAAGTCTGTGACCTGGAAGAAGGCCCTCCCTGGCCCTGCTGGCACCCTGATCTTGGACTTCCAGCCTCCAGAACTGGTAGATATGATGCGCACTGACCACCAGGGGGCAGACGCTCAACGCAGGAGCTGCCAAGCTGCGGTGACTTGGCAGTGGCAGTTCTCGGGGGATGCACCCCATAACCAGAGAGGAGGGAGCCCGATTCCTCATGGAGCCGTGTGATTCCACCAGTCCAAGGGACACCCACCTGCTGGAGGGACCCTGCTCACTGCACCGCCCCAGGTGCAGCCAGCTGGGGAGGGACCTTGGAAGGTTGGCTCCAGGGTGTGTCCAGCCCATCTTGCCCAGTCCAGCCCCACCAGCCACCTTCTAATTTATTTCCTTTCAATGTGCACAAATCTGTGCACTGGGTCACTAGTTTGTTATGACAGCCAAGTGGACTAAGAATATAGGTAGGTTTCAAAACCCATACTCTATCTCTTTCCTGGTGGGCAACAACCAAAATTTCTCCTCAGCATTTTCTAGTTGCTGCTTTCCTGGGCTTTCAGAGACCATGCATGCACAATTAAGAGGCCATCCAAGAATTTGAAGGAAGTTTATACACAGATTTGGGGACTCTCATCTCTATGGCTCTTATCTCCAAAATCTTCCCTCAGTTTTCAGTTGTTCTAGCAGCCCCAAACTCTGTCCTCTGACACCTCGGGCTTCAAGATCCAGCTTAAGCTCTAGCTGCCCTCCACTGCACTCACAGGGGAACACCCTCAGGAGTAAATCTGTTTAAACATGGATCTCACCAAGTGTAGTTCCCTTTTTCCCAGGGCGGAGTTCTCTCCAATTTATGCCTGCTTTTGGTCATTCTCTAATTATTTCTTATATTTTGTCCAGAGTCTGTAATTGTTTATTTGTTTGTTTGTTTGTTTGTTTGTTTGTTAAATAAGAGGAAGTTTATTTAGAAACTCACGGAGGTAGAAGAAGTGATTGGTAGAAGAAATGGGCTCAGGAAACAAGTTACAAAGGCAAAAGAAGGACCCCCAGAGCTTAGGAGAATGAGAGAGGCAAGGAAGCCCGGCCTGGTGCAGGGAAGGAGATGGGGAAGGGGAGAGAGGCAGAAGGCGTGGCTGTGCTCCCAGGAGGGAGAGTGCCCAGAATCCATAATTGTTATTTGTGGGAGACTTAGTCCAAACTGTTCTGCCATTACTGGAAAGAAAAGCTCTGTATTTTTTCCACAATTTTAAAAACTAGCTTTAGAAAAGGCTAGGCCAAATGGACAAAAATATATCATTTTGTACAAGGGAGTAGTTTTACAGGTAATATTTCTTCTTATATTTTCCAAGTTTTCTATAAAGCGATATTTTTAAAATTAAACTGTTTTTAATGGATAGAATTTGCATGGAGTGAGAGGCATCCCAGTGGGGAAGTGTATTAGACTTCCTGTAATTTGGCATTTATTTTTTAAATTAAACATTTTTTATGGAAAGAGTTTGAATGGAGTAAGAGGCATTTCAGATGTAGGACATGTATAAATTAAAGGTGTGTTTGTGTGAAGAACATGAGTCATCCTTGGGTCAGCTGTTTGGTGGGAGCAGGATGGTTTGCAAGAGTGGAGAAGTGTAAAGAAACAAGGGAACTCCATCATTATACAAAGGTAATTATTGTCAATTCATTGCCAAAAGCCTGGGTTTTAAACCTGTTGAATTATCTTATGTAGTAGAAGAATAACTAAATTTGCCAGAAAGAACCATGAATATTTTCTTTAATATTTTCAACTTACTATTACACAAAGTAAGGAATAAAAATACATATACAACTAAAATATATGCCTTTGGATGCAAATCGGAAATGGATATGGAAAAAGGAAAAAAACTTATTTGTAGAGTGATGAAATTTGGAGAGATTTTGAAAGCAGATTTCAATTTTCAGATGCTATCAGGAGATGGGTTATATAGGGGGCCATCATTAATCATGGTGACTAAGGGAGTTACGGTCTCCGTCTCTACTGATGGGTTGGGGCCAGGACAGGGGTAGGTGATCATTGCATCTGGTCCTGATGTCACCTATGGCGTTGTTCTGCCTAGCTTCTCAAGGATGTGGACAGTGCGGTCATTCTGCTTTTCTGGGCCGATGTTATATTTAGTTTGACCAAAACTCTGTTTCTGTGGTCCACAAGCCACAGGCTTTGTTCCTAAGACTTGTTTGATGCTGCCCAGAACCAAGCACCTCATTGTTCTGAGGGTTTAATGATTAAGGCCCCAGCTAAGCTCCATGCACAGTAATATATTTGCACTCTCAGAAGAAACCCCAGACTTTCCATGTTTTTGCCCATGAGCTACCTTGTTTCCTACACAGCTGTCAAGACTCGGCTAAAATAGGCCCCCCTTTGTGAAGCCTGGTTTTCTCCCCCACTCTCCCCCCTGCACCTCCCAGGAGCTATATAGGCCATGAGTTTCGTCAGTCCTCCTACCAGACCATGTCAGCAGCAAGTCTTATTTTTGTCGAAGTCCCTGAAATGAGTCATTTCTTCCCTTTACACTTCGTACAAATTGAATCCATTTTAGAGGCTATTTTAAGCATGCAAAATATGTGTGATACGCTAGGAGGTAAAACTAGTGCAGTAACAGAAAAAAGAGATATGCATTGAATCTAACAAAAATATTATACAGTAATATCTATGCTTAAAGAAGCATGTTGTCATTTATCAAGATTAATAAATAAAAATATTTAGTGAACATCGTAGAATGGCAGAGTTGGAATTGATCTTGTAGCCTCTCCTTGTCAGATCTGAGAATTCTTGGGCAAGAAGCGAGGATGTCACAGAGGCGTAAGTGAATGCAGAGCAAGAGTGGAGGAGAAGGAGTGCTAGTAACTTGCAATCACAGATGTGAGAAGGCCCTCTCCATCCTCACACCTCAGAGCCTCCTTGCTCATGCCAGTGGTTGTAACTGTGGAGTTCACCCCTCACCTGTCCTCTTTCCTTTACATCTGGATCTGGGGGGTGGGAGCAACATTTGGTAACTCACTTCCACCCTTCTCCCCCTGAGATTGTAACCCTAAAGGCAAGTTACAATGGCTGCTCAGAATAGTCAAAGAAATGTACTTCTAAGTGTTTCTCCTGCTGCCTTGGCTAGAATTATGAATAAGGCACACAGGCAAATCCAAACCCCTACAGTGTGAGATACACCTAAAACTGAGTGAACGAATAAATGGTTCAATAATTAAGTAAAATAATATTAGATGTCAATAAAGAGAATAATATCAATTCAGAAAAGCAAAGAACAATATTGAGAGGTTTTAATTTTTAAAATGATCTAGTTGGAAAAAATAAAGAGACAAAATACGTTTAGAGGTTTCATAAGGGAAATGTTAAACAAGATTTCAAGTGGAAAATTATATAAATAGGCATACTTAAGGACTACTTCTTACATATAATTATTAGTCAATGTTTTAAAAGTTTAGTTAAAATTTCCATTATAATTTTACTTTAAATATTGCCAGATTTTTAAAAAAGGGGCTGAATTTGCCCTTTATCAATATGCCAATCTTTTTTTTTTCTTTTGCTCAGTTCATCAGTAAACCACTGAGTTAAGAATGAGTATGTCTATGTTAATGGCTGCTGAGTGGGATGCAGATAACCACTGCCCAAATGGGCCAGTCTGCCTCCCTGTCTCTCCCCCTTTGCTCACCAGCAAGACTGCGGTGCCACCCAGTCCTATAGCTCACAGACCCACTGGCGGAGGGGGTGGGGTGTCAACAAGTACACCCAGCAGACCAAGCCCCTCACCTTGGGACCCACCATCACCCTCTATCCTCTCACCAATTATACTTTTGGTACAAAAGAGCCTCTCGCCCTGGCTAGACTGGCTCAGTTGGTTGGGTGTTGTTCTTTGCACAGAAGGGCTGCTGGCTCAATTCCCCATCAGGGCACATGCCTGGGTTGCAGGCTGGATCCCCCCAGTAGGGCATGTGCAGGAGGCAGCCAATCTGATGTTTTGCTCTCCAATCAATGTTCTTCTATCTCTCTCCCTTCACCTATCTCTAAAAATCAATAAATATATTTAAAAATAAAATGGAAGGAAGGAAGGAAGGAAGGAAGGAAGGAAGGAAGGATTTTTTTTGAAGGAAGGAAGGAAGGGAGGGAGGGAGGGAGGGACCCTGGGAAAGAACGCTGAATGCTTTGCCTTATTGATTGTAATGTGAATATCCCATGGGTTGTGGTCATACTGGTCTTAGAAAGCACATTTTCCTTTACCTGGGAAGGACAGCACAGTTATCCCAAGGTCAGAGGGCTCTAGACCCAAAACTGGAATTTAGATAACATGCTGTTTCTGCTTCTGTAAACTGCTTTTTTGCAAACCAGGTTCCTCATTCCAAACCTTGAGATGTAATCAATACCTTTGTGATATTTTGCCTATATAACCCTGGAGCTGCGACCATCTTGTTACTATGAGATTTGGGAAAGCAAGATGCCCCCTCATAGTCCCGGATTGCAATAAATGAGACTCTAATTCGACTTCTTCAGGCGTCCTTCTGTGATTCGCGGGGTACATTACAACAATTGGAAGGGGGAATGATTCAAATAAAATCCTTAAAAATCATCATCTGTATTCATTTATACATCTTTGTAAATGTTAATAGAAGCAAGAGTATTTTCTCAAATCTTGGTACAAAAATCTCATTAGACACCACCAACATTTCCCATTTGGTGGATACTGGTTCTAAAAATAGAAGTGTTCTTTTTGTAGCCTACATACTTATTATTCCCTTATTCTTTAAAAAATTCCATGTTGGCTCTACACTAAGAAATTAGCGACCTCAAGTTAATATAGAACAAGTGAGTTTCTGTAATTATTAGATTTAAAAATATAGCTCCCTAGATCCAAAATCTACTTGTTACAATTATGTGTAATAATACATTCTTAGGGCATAAGAATTTTATGTGAAACTTATTAAAAACAGCTCATGATTTCTTTGCTGGTACAGATCTGTGCTGCCAGTGAAGCCAAAAGACCCTGGGAAAGAACGCTGAATGCTTTGCTGATTGCTTTACTAATATTGTCTGGTATGTTTAGTCTCCAAGAAAAAAAGAAATGAACATTTCTTGATCACCTACCGAGTGCTACAATATATTTATATGATTGAATCCTCACAATGACCATAAGAGGCAGAATAATTCCCAGTTTACAGAGGGAGAAACTGAAGTCATGAGCTCAGGGCATACATAAGCAATGAAGCCAGGATCTAAACAATCTGACTCCACATCCATTCCACTTCATGTAACTTCAAGAAGTCAACCACAAAAGGCTTCATGTACTTTTCCTTCAAAACCTATTTTGCTCCCACTTGTCTTCAACATCAACATTCAGTCTAAACCGTTTAACTGGAAAAACCTGAGGGTATTCCAAGAATGTTCAGATTTTTTTTAAAGCAGGAAATAACTTCAATTAGTCAGTTGATAACTTACATAAAGAACTTAATATTGCCTGACATACTAATGAGTGCTACTCATAAACTTCATCTCTGACCCTAGCATTTGGAAGTGGGCTACATTTGCTTCACATTTTCTTAACAATTTTTTTAATTGGTAGTGTGAAAATATATCTTGTCAATGCTTTAAAAATATTCAGTTATTTTAGCTCAGTGGATAAAGTGTCGGCCTGCACACCAAAGGGTCCCAGGTTCGATTCCAGTCAAGGGCACATACCTCGGTTGCAGGTTCCTTCCCAACCCTGGTCGGGGCTTGTGCAGAAGGCAACCAATCTATGTGTTTCTCCCACATCAATATTTCTCTCTGTCTTTCCCTCTCTTCCACTCTCTCTAAAAATCAATGGAAAAATATCTTCAAGTGAGGAGTAAAATAAATAATTAATAAGGTATTCAATTATTAAAATAAATCTTGTACAATGGAAAGTATAATTTGCACAGGTTGAAACTTTTAAATGGGCACTTAAATTTGTTTTCCAAATTTCTCCTGTTAAACTTTTTCAGCCCTCTCAAGCATTGTCTCAGACTTTTTTTTTTTTTTTCCAGATGATACCTCACCTTTGTTCCTATTATCTTTTTCTCTTCTCTTCCTGTCCCTGGTTCCATTCCTCTCAATGGCTGCTTTTGTAGCCTATGTTCTTGGATTTGTTCCCTCCACAGACTTGTTAACAACTTCCCTTATCCTTGTCTACCAGATATTTTTTGTGTACTTAAGTATTTAGTCACCATTGTCATAATTGTTCTGAAAATAGCCTTGATATGTGGGCCATCCCAGAAGACCAGCAGTTTCTAAAGTTAATAACACCTTGAGCAAATAAATGATTTTATGATTCACTCCTTTTATGACCTCTCATAAAAGAAAGAAAATTGTTATATGATAAGAATATTGAAGTAATTAATTGTTGTAAGGATTCAGTAGTTGTTGAGATGGGTTTGGTCTGCTCAAATAATTGCTTTGATGTTAGAAGGATTATATCCATTAAGTATAGGTTTTCATTGAAAGAAATGTATGTTCATTAGAAAACTTCAGAGTTAAAAACCCTTTTAGTGGTTTAGTTGAACACTTAATTCTAATTGCAGCCCTGTGACATGAGTTTTTAACATGATCATGAGATACTTTTTTCACTCAGAGTAACACTTGATTTAATAAAAAATATGGATTGCAGATTTTATTTTTTAAGAATGAGTTAAGACTTTTAAGTCCCTAGAGTAACCTGTCTATTAGGTTTTTTTTACGAAAATCCTAAGGATCTGGATTAAGTAAAGATTCACTATTTTGATTTAAAATTAATTACAACTATTAAGTAACTTGGGCTTGAAAATAACTCATGTAATTAATTTGCTCTATCAGAGAAGAAAGTTTTTTATTAGTATAGTAATTGAAATAGCCTTAACAAAAGGGGGAATCTAAAATGTCTTCTGAATTAGTGCTTTATCACTTGAACCACTAGGTGGCACTAACAAGCTTTTACCAAATATGTACTCTGAATGATGTGTAAGACACTCCTTGAATGCTTTCCACCTATAAACAATATCCAATGCCACCACTATCAACAGGTCTACAATTTCGACCCATCTGTTTAAGGAAAATGGTATATAAAGTTATGGCTCTAGACAACAATAAATGTTATTACTTTAGCAAATTACTAGCTGTTTAAGAAGCTACTTGCATTGTTGACAAAAATACTGAGAATTCAATCAAAATAACAAGGCACCATGATTTAGTGAAAAAACAATGGACTTAGAGTCAGTAGTGCTGGTTCTGTTTATAGTTCCACCGCCAACGATCTTCGCATTTTGAGTAAGTCACTAAACCTTTCTGGTTGCCAATTTCCTAGTCAGTGAAATAGGGAAGAAAAAGAAACCACTTTTTTTTCCTACAAAATCCCTGAGAATTCTAGTATAGAAAACAAATGAAAGCAAGGCTGACTGAATGGGGTGGAATGTTAGAAGGAGAAGGATATATGAACACGCTTTCTACTCTACTTCCCATCACTCTCTACAATGTCCAATCCATGGTTTCCATGGCCCAGAAAATAATAATCTGGAGAGCAATGAAATAGAAAATTAGTATGGTCCCTTCTGTTCCAGAAGTCTGATTCCAAGTATGTAGCTATGTGCAAATTCTTAAACATTTTCTCTTTACTTGCCCAATTCCAGGATACAGTACACAGTTTATTTACTCTTTTACAAATGAGTAAACGGAGGCTGAGTAATTACTGTCTTTTTAAAGTTCATCTGGATATAGGATCAGAATCCAGAACTTCTGGGGTATTTTTTGTTTGATTGTTTTTATTTGTGTTGTTGTTTTTTTTTGTAATTAAACTTTTTTTGGGGGAAATATATTTAAACTTTTTTTTGAAAAAAGTATATATTCACATGCAGTTGTGAAAAATAACACAGAGTAATTCCATGTACCATTTACCCCGTTTCCCCCAATGGTAACATTTGCAAAATTATGGCACCATATCACAACCAGGATATTGGCATTAAGACAATCCAGAGCAATTCCACCACCCCAGGAATCCCTGTGTTGTACTTTCAAAGCTACACCTGCCTCCCTCCTGCCCCCACTCCCTGCTTAGTATCCCCACCCTAGGAACCACTAATTTGTTCTCCAGTTCTTTAATTTTGTCATTTCAAGAATATGATATAAACAGAATCATATAGTATGTAGCCTTTTCAGGATTTACATTCTCACTCGTCATTATTCTCTATAGATTTATCCAGATTGTTCCATGTATCAAACATTCATTCCATTTTATTGAAGAGCACTCCATGATATGATGTACCGCAGATATTTAACCATTCATCCAGGAAGAGTATCTGGGTTGTTTTTAGGTTTTTGTTCTTATGCATAAAGCTACTATAGCATTTGTGTATAGGTTTTCATGTAAACATAAGTTTTTATTTTTCCAGGATAGATGCTCAGGAGTGAGATTGCTGAGTCATTATGTAATTGCATGTTTAGTTAGTTAGTTAGTTTGTTTTTTTAATATATTTTTATTGATGTCAGAGAGAAAGGGAGAGGGAGAGAGAGATAGAAACATCAATGATGAGACAGAATCATTGATCGGCTGCCTCCTGCATGCCCCCTACTGGGAATTGAGCCCGCAACCCAGACATGTGCCCTTGGTCGGAATAAAACCTGGGACCCTTCAGTCTGCAGGCCCCATGCACTGAACCAAACCAGCTAGGGCCATGTTTAATTTTTTAAGGAACTGCTAAATAATTTCCAGAACAGGTATACTAATTTACATTTCCACCAGCAATGTAGTGTTTTCACTACTTTTTTAAATTTTAGCCATTCTGATAGGTGTGTAATGATACGTCATTGTGGTTTTAATTCGTATTTTCCAAATGCTAATAATGTTAAACATCTTTTCATGTGCTTATTTGCTATCTGTATGTTCTTTTTGGTGAAATGTCTATGTCTTTTGTTCATTTTCTAATTGGCTTTTTTTGTTTTGTACTGTTGAGAGTTCTTTATGTATTTAAACACTAGTCTGTCTTTTCATCCTCTTAACAGGATCTTTCACAAAGCATAAGTTTTTCATTTTAATCATTTTTTTTTATGGATCTTGTTTTTGGGTCAAGTCTAAGAACTCTGTCTATCTCTAGATTTCAAAGATTTTTTTTACTGTGAGCTTTTCTGAAATTTTATAATTTTTAAATTTACATTTATGTAGTTGATCTATTTTGAGATAATTTTTGGATAAGTTCTGAGGTTTAGGTTGAAATTCTGTTGGGTTTTTTAAAAAAATATATTTTATTGATTTCAGAGAAGAAGGGAGAGGGAGAGAGAGAGATAGAAACATCAATGACGGGAGAGAATCATGGGTTGGCACCTCTTGCATGCCTCACCCTAGGGACTGACATGTGCCCTAACTGGATTGAACCGTGACCTCCTGGTTCATAGATCAACGCTCAGCCACTGAGCCATGTCTACCAGGTGAAATTCTGTTGTTTTTTTTAATGCATTTGCTCCAATTGCTCTAGTACCTTTTTTTTCTTTTTAGTAGCACTTTTTTTTTAAGGCAATTTTTATTTCACTGAATTGCATTTGTAACTTTGTCAAAAAATCAGGTAGGCATATTTATATGGATCTATTTTCTGGCTCTCTATTATATTCCACTGGTTAATGTGTCTATCTCTCCACTGATAACACACTGTTTTGATTAATCTATATAATAAAAACCTAAGCTACCATTATGGTAGAACGACCAGAATGACCAGTCACTATGATGCACACTGACCACCAGGGGGCAGATGCTCAACACAGGAGCTGCCCCCTGGTGGTCAGTGCACTCCCACAGGGGGAGCGCCGCTCAGCCAGAAGCAGGGCTCACAGCTGGCGAGTGCAGCAGCGGTGGCAGGAGCCTCTCCCACAGTAAGGAGCGAGGGGTCCCGGACTGCGGAAGGGATGTCTGACTGCTGGGGATCGGGCCTAAGCCAGCAGGCGGACATCCCCCAAGGAGTCCCCGACTGCGAGAGGGCAAAGGCCTGGCTGAGGGATCCCCCCTCCCCCGGTTCATGA